GAGAGAGAGAGAGAGAGTGAGTGAGTTATGGGGTGGAATGAGAGGAACCCAGCAAGCTGTGGCTTATTTCAAGGTGGTTTGTCCGTCACCTGCGATGGGTGGTGGTTATCGGATCAGGTCAAGTCAATCACGTTTACAAACCAGAATGGCGGAGTTTGTAAGGCACATGGAAGCAAAACCAAACAAAGCATGATTGTTTGGCCCAAGAAATAAACCAAGATGTAGAGGGTCATCTTTTAGGGGCACACAGGGGTGACATCGTGGCTTTTCCCACCCTCTGGCCAGCACTGTCTGATTTCTCCCTCCCTCCTTTTTCCTTCCTTCCTTATTTCTTCTTTCCTTCCTTTTCTTCCTTCTTTCCCTCTCTTTCTCCCTCCCTTTTCCTTTCTTTTCCCTGCTTCCTTTTCTTTCCTGTCTTTCTACCTCCCTTCTTTCTCCCTCCCTCCATTCCCTTTTTTCCCCTTCCTTATCTCTTTTTTTCCTTTTCTTCCTTCTTTCCTGTCTTTCTCCCTCCCTTTTCCTTTCTTTCCTATCTCTTCTTTCCTTCCTTTCTTCTTTCTCCCTCTTTTCCTTCCTCTTCTTTCTCCCTCCCTTATCTCTTTTCCACCTTCCCTTTTCCACCTCTCCCTTTTAACTTTTCCTTCCTCCCTTTTCCTTCCTTCCTTCCTTCCTTCCTTCCTTTTTTTTTAAAATATAATGAACCAATGCTCTATTCATAACCATGAGGACTAGAATCTCCCTTTGTCCCATACATTGTTTGAGGAGGCAGAAAGCCCCCCTTTAAATCCCAATCCTCCCCGGGCCCAGCATGGACACAAACTGCATTTGTAGTGTGTCTGTTTTTGTGTTATTCGTGGCAGGCGGCAAATTCTAGAACGAAACGCAAACCACGTTCCAAAGTGGCTTACCTCCGCTGAGTCAGGATGTGTTTGAGAATTCGAGAAAAACGATCCTGAAGATTGGAAGAGCTGAGCAGGGGTGGAAAAAAAAAAAAACAGAGCAAGAAAGGTGAAAAAAAAATTAAATTAAGAATTTGCTGAATAGACTTCGGGGCTGGCCTACCTTACAGGGTTGTGTGGAGGATAAAATGTAGGAAGGGATGAAGTGGATGGCTTAGGAAACTTGTTTCTCAAAAGGAGGATTAAACTTGGCTCTTAAACAAACCCATGATTTTATCCGTTGACTTTTCCTACCTGAGCCAGGGGCTGGACTAGAAGACCTCCAAGGTCCCTTCCAACTCTGTTATTCTTTTTAAAAAATATCTATAGCAATAGCGCTTAGACTTATATACCGCTTCACAGTGCTTTACAGGGCTCTAAATGGTTTACAGAGTCGGCCTCTTGCCCCCAACAATCTGGCTCCTCTGGAAGGACGGAAGGGTTAGGGTTTTATTAATACATTTTTCTTTTTTATACACATAAACGGCTCCATATCTCTCTGAACAGCGTATTATCTGGGTATAATTAGTTTTGAATAGAGATATAACAATAATCATAATGGTAATCTTAGTATCAATATGAATCACATAATAATAGTACTAATTGTACCGACTCGGTTATTCCGTTATACCTATTCCATATATTTATTCTGTTCATGCGATGCTCCATTTTAAGTTCCGAATCGCTGCAATTAACACCTTTTTAAAACTAACCAACACACACCCACCACCAAAACTTCCACGGAAAATAGGGGGAAAATGCTTTTGCATCTGTCTGTATTGCAATCCTGCTGGGTCACTAAAAGTTGCCTTATCTTGTGTGAGGTCAGAAAAATGTAGTTTATTTATTTTTGGCAAACCTCCTCATCTGTTAGTCACAACATTTACTTGCTGACACCCACGGCTTAGTCATGGATAATCGAAGTGCTATTTAAAAAAAAAAACACCTTTATCACATTATTCATCTCTCTCTTTTTTTAAAAAAGCATCACAAGATCCCCTTTTAGTGACCTTCCGGCAAACACAATCAACGGGGAAGCCAGATTCGCTTAAGAACCGCGTGACTGACTTAACAACCGCAGGGATTCACTTCACAAAACGCGACAGGAAGGAAGTCGTAAAACGGAGCAGAAGACTCCGAACAACATTCCTCGCTCAGCCGCAGACCTTTTGGGGGGCTGTTAAGTCGAGGACCACCTGCAATAATGCTCAGCCACGGAGGGGGAGAAAAAGAGGCCATCCAATCGGGCGCAATTCCCTTCACCGCCGCCCCCTTGCTTAGCAACGGGAAATCCTGGCCGTGAAGTCGAGGACTAACTTGTAAAGGCAGCGCAACGTTTCCGGAAGTCATGCAAGTTTCTTTCTCTTCCTCCTGTCGCTTGGGAGCCGTGAGTGAGTCACTTTTGATCCCAGTCTGTGCGAGGGACGGCATTTTTCTCTCACACTCGTTGCTCCCTCCAGATCAGTGTTTTTTCGGCTTGTGCAACTGGGATTGTGCAATTGACACGCTCACACACCCCCACAGCAAGGAGGGGGCAGCAGGGGGGGGCAGTAGCGTTAGTCGGCTTGTTTTCTAGGCTAAAAATCGAGAATAGTCATAGAACAAAAAATATTTGTTTCCCCATAGGTAGTCCTTGACTTACGACTGCCGTTGAGTCCAACGTTCCCGTTGCTAAGTGAGACGTTCGTTGAGCGGGTTTTCGCCCCGTTTAATGATGTCATTTCTTGCCCCAAGGGAATCCCTGCCGTTGTTAAGTTATGCACACCGTTGTTAAGCGAATCCGGCTACCCTCAAGGACTGTGCGTTGTCAGGAGGTCGCAAAAGCGGATCACAGGACCCCGGCATGCTGCGGCCATCATAATTGTGAGTCAGTTGCCAAGGTCATGTCACCATGGTGGTGCTGAAACGGCCGTTAAGCGTGAAAAAACGGTCCAAACACCCTTTTTTCCCCCCAGTGCTGTCGTAACACTGCGACCGTCATAAATAGGAGTCCGTTGCCAAGCCTCTGAATTTTGATTATCCCGATTCTGCAATGGTCATAAGGGTGAAAAACGGTCATAAGTCACTTTTGTCTGTAATGTCGTAACTTTGAACGGTTGCTAAATGAACTGTTGTATGTCAAGGACTACCTGTATCTACTTCTACTGCCCCAAAAGGAGTCGGAAGTCAATCCTCTTTTTTTCCTTTTTCCCCTGTTTCTACCCTTTTCTCTCTTTCACTTTTCCTCCCCTATTTTACATTTATGATTTTTTTTTTTGTAGCGGTGGCTCAGTGACTAAGACGCTGAGCTTGTCGATCAGGAAGGTTGGCGGTTCGAATCCCTAGCGCCACGTAACGGAGCGAGCTCCCGTTCCTTGTCCCAAGAGCTTCTGCCAACCTAGCAGTTCAAAAGCACGTAAAAAAATGCAAGTAGAAAAATAGGGACCCCTTTGGCGGGAAGGGAACAGCGCTCCGTGCACTTTCTGCGTTTAGTCCTGGCGGCCACGTGACCACGGAGACGTCTTCGGACAGCGCTGGCTCTCTTTGGCTTTGTAACGGAGATGAGCACCGCCCCCTAGAGCCGGAAAACGATTAGCACGTATGCGCGAGGGGAACCTTTACCTTTTACCTTTTTATGCTTTGTTAAAAACAAATAAAAATTTCGAACCGCGTAAAATCTTTCTCCCTTTGTCGCTCGCTCGCCTGCGTGCAAATTGAACATTTTTTTTGCAAGGATCCTACCGGCTGATTTCCTCCGCTCCCATGTGAAAGAGCAAATCCACCGAGGTTAAGCCGAAAATCACCCCGTCGATCTCTAAGGTGCAGGGATCGGAGACGAAGAGCACTCGCTGCGGAGTTTGGGGGTGGAGGGGAAAAAAACAAAAAACACCAATAAAGAGGCATTAATTCAGCAAACTTTTTCTGAATGCCGTCGCCAAAGTAACTACGGAGTTAAGTGAGATTATTCTAAACCTTGATGGGCTCTGACGATCAAGCCAACATTCCCCAAGCCAACATTCTTCCAAAAGTGCTAGAATCTCAGCTCCCGGGATTCCTCAGCTAGCGTGGGATTCTGGGACACGGAAGTCCCAAACCACCCCCAGGTCTACTTCCCTTCAACAGCCACAGGACGTGGTTAATTCTGAGCTGGGGGAATTTCACTGCTTGAGTAATCCTTGTTTAGGGATGTACGGTATTTCCCGAGGGAATTGACCCAGCAAAATAAACGCCCTCGCAGCCCAAGGTTGCCCTGGTGTTTTCCTGCTGTTCTTGGATCTGTCTCAAGAGGAGGGAATCCCCTCGGCTTGTCGCTTTTGAGAAAAGGACGGGTGTGTTTGTGTGTGTGTGTTTCTGACGGCACACCCAAGTTCCTTGTCTGCCTTTTCTGAAAAGGAGATGTACATGCCCCGTTTCTCAACCGCGGCCATTTGGAAGGCATGGAGGGGGGACTTCAATTCCCAGAATCCCCCAGCCGGCCCTGAACAAAAACCCACACACCCCCAGCCAGGAATGAAAGTTGCCCATTTCCCCTTCCAAGAACTTTAGCAAAGTTTCTACCCTGTTTTCCTGAAAATAGGACCTACCCTGAAAGTAAATCCTAGCTTGATTTTTACACATGCGCCCAATATAAGCCCTAATTAAGATTCTGCCCACTCTAGAGTACAAAAATTAAGCTAGGGTGTGGATGGGGTGGTGGTGGAGCTGCCCTACGACTTACCTTTGGACAGTTGTAGCCAGGCCTCGCACACCCTGACACCTGCCTTGCCGGCCCATTTCTTCTGCAGCCGGCAAAGCTGGCAAGGCTTTCCTGAAGGCCTCTATGGCTCTGGATCGATCCAGAGCTCTGTTATTGGCTGCAGAGGCCTTCAGGAAAGCCTTGCCGGCCGCAGAAAAAGGAGTTCCTGAAGGCCTCTGACAGCGAAAAGGAGGCCGGAGCGATGCACGCAAGTGAGGTTAGTCAGTGGATGACAACCCCTGAAAATAAGACCTGGTGCCTTTTTTGGTGGGGGAAAAAAATATAAGACAGGGTCTTATTTTCGGGAAAACACAGGTATAAGCAAAGGTCTTCAACTTTTGGCAACTTTTTAAGACTTGTGGGACTTCAACTTCCAGAATTCTGCAGCCTAACAGAGAGTCAGAGTTGGAAGGGACCTTGTAGGTCATCTAGTCCAACCTCCCGCCCAAGCGGGAGACCCTACACCATTTCTGACAGCCTGCAATACAATGGCCCCATCCAGGCAAAACCTCCGTTTTTTTCCTCCTCCCTCCTGAAGCCTCTTTCCTTTCGTGATATGTCATTTGGCCTCTAAACCCCAGAACAAAAAGCTATTTTATGGCTGGTTCTTAACAGCTTTCGTAGAAATCTTGTTTCAGCGTGAAGTATCCCCCAAAATAAAATTCCTGGGCCTCCTGGCCTCTTTTTGCAATAAAAGAAAAAGTCGTGTAAATGTCCAACCCTGGATGAAAATGTAGGATAAAAGGGACAGCAAAGCGGAGGAAGAATTTGTAAAAAATAAAATAAAATGCAACCAGCACGCACGGAAGCAGGCAACGTAAGGTTTCTTAAACTTGAAAGGGGAAAAGAAAATCACAATAATTTCCTGCCTTCCAAACCAGTGACGCTTTGCACTAAAGCCTGAGTCACTCTGTTGCCTTGGCCTTTCCCGGAAAAACATCTTCGATTTCTCATCCGAAAGACAGGAAATTCTTAGCTTTTCTTGAGAAAAAAACAAAAAGCCCATTTATTTATTTTTTTTGGCAAGTCAAAGCCAAAAAGTAAGCACTATCGCCCCCTGTTGGTGGCTCTGAACCAGCTGGAGCTCCGCGGCACCTGTTGGGAACACCTGGAATCCCCGTTGCCAGGAAAAAAAAAAAAAAGCCAACAGCTGCAAATCCAAAAATTAAAATTTGGCCTTTATATCTTAAAAGAGTTTAAAAGCCTGGTCTGAATCAATGTTTTTTTTTTCTTATCAAATGAATTGGAAGAAAACCACCGGACGAGTTCTCAAAAACCAAACCATCCAGCCAACTCTTTTCGGCATCGGATTATTTTGGCTTCAAATTCTCTTTGCAAACATCAGATTTCCGGCTGACGGTTACGTTAAATGTTTGCAAAAAAAAAGAAAAAGGTGCTTGAAATACTTCTTACTTTCTTCTTACAAAGGAAAACAAGAAGGCAAAGGAAAGGCGTCGCCGGCCTGCATCGATTGGTGGTTTTCTTGCAAATCCAAAGGTTCTTTAGAATTTGGGCCAATCCAATCAACCTTTTTACAGAAACCTAAGCAGCTCTAAACATTGCACAGGCAAGTCCTTGACTTACGACCATAATCGATCCCAAGATTCCTGTCGCCAGGGAAACAACTCCTTTGTTAAATGAGTTCTGCCCCGTTTTACGACCATTTTTGCCCCGGTTTGTTAAGTGAATCATTGCCGTTGTTAAAGTTAGTCACGTGGATGTTAAGTGAACCCGGATTCCCCATTGGCTTTGCTGGTCAGGAGGTCGCAAAAGAGGATCACAGAATCCCAGGACACTGTGACCGTCGTAAATACGAGTCAGCTGCCAAGCATCTGAATTGTGATCGTGTGGCCGTGGGGATGCTGCAACGGTCGTTAAGTGTGAAAAAAGCCCCTTTTTCAGTAGCGCTGTAACTTTTGGTCGCTCAATGAATGGTTGTAAGTAATTATACAGGTGGTCCTCGACTTACAACGGTTCGTTTAGTGACCAATTCAAACACAGATAGCCCTCAACTTACAGTTTTAGTTTAGTTTACTTTATTGTCATTGCACCTCGTACAACGAAATCAAACACCGTGTCGGCATTCCAGCTGACACTCCAACCAATTACTCCGAGACAGAGATCTTCACAAAAGTTCTTTTTATTTTGGATAGTAAACTTGGCACAACTGGGGAATCCTGAATCTGAAAGTTCCGGGTTTCCTTGCAATAAGTAAAAACTACAAAATCCACCCCCTGCACCCATCATCGCATCACATGCCCCAATCACCATCCGTCCCAACTTCAGACGTCCTCTCACTTATGCGCAACACAACCTGACCTTGAATCAGAAAAAGAATGTTGTTATGTCTAACTAGATACACTCCAATATATTCCCCCCTCCCACTTTCCCAGGCACAAAATGTGGCAGCGTGGGAGCGTCTGGTCTCAATATGGCTTCCAAAGCTGGCACACCATCTTTGTCCTGCCCTTGTTGGAGTCTGATTCTGAGGGGGAGGTTGAGCAGCTGACAGGGAGTGGGAGTGGGGCTCCGGTGGCTGTGGAAGAAATGGGGGAAGGGCACAGTCCGGCTGGGCATTCAGAGGAAGACCAAGGCCCACCCCCTCTTCATCCTGGGGCACGCAGGGAGAAATGGAGAAGGGAGCAATGTGGCTTACGGGAGAGAAAAGGGCCCTGATCCCCTTCATTAGTTGCAGCTGGCAGAACAGGATAGAAGTGGGGCGTTTGCACACAGCTCTTTGCCGAAAGCAAAGAGTGCATTTTCTTGGTTGAGGCTTATCTGGGTTTTGGCATCTTCCCAACTGTGGTTGCTATGTTATCCTTTGAAAGTCTGCAATTTATCATCCTGGCCTGCCGTGTTAATTACTTCAGGGTGGTTTGTGTTGGGTTTTTTATTTCTAATTTATCTGTACTTTGGGTTTGGACCGCTTTTCTTCCCTTCTTAGACTGTTTTTGGAAGAGTTTGATCTTCATAATTGGACATTGGGGGCCAAGTTGGAGGTATTAAAGGGAATTTATTCTACTTTTGTGATTTCGTTATTTTTGTGTCATGCCCCAGGTCACCATAATCTTCAGTGCACATCATGACCATGAAAATACACAAACACACATCCTTCACACTCCACCCATTGAATTGAAAACCCCCAACACTAAATTATTCATTTAGTGACCACTCGAAGTTACAAGGGTCCTGAAAAAAGTGACATACGACCGCTTGCAGCATCCCCATGGCCAAACAATTCAAATTCAGCCGCTTGGCCACTGACTCCCATTTATGACGGCGGCAGTGTCCTAGGGGTCAAGTGATTCCCTCTTTTGCGACCTCCTGACACACCAAGTCGATGGGGAAGCCGGATTCACTTAACAACCGGGTGACTCACTTAAGAACTGAAATGATTCACTTCAGGGTTATTGGCAAGAAAAATCCTAAAATGGGGGCAAAAAACTCAAGATTCAACTTAACCAACCGGGCAACTAACTTAACAGCTTGCAGTGGTTCACTTAACAACCACGGGGAGAAAGTTCGTAAAACGAGGCAAGGCTCACTTTAACAACTGTCCCGCTTAGCAACGGAAATGTCAGGCTTAATGGTGGTCAAGGACCACCTGTAAACAGACTGAGGGAGGTGGAGCTTGTCGGAAAAGTGGAGAAATTACCTGTCGGTCTTCTTTGGCGAGTTCACAGACGAAAGGTGGTTGGGGATAAATGCACACATGGTGTACGTCCCTCAGTGAAGGCACAACCACAAGGTGGGAGCCGGCACTGTGTGGGATGAAGGAGAGACACAAGCTTGTGAGAATCAGGAATGCAGGTTTAAGTCCTCGCTTAATGACCAGGAGAACTTACAATGGAGCTCAAGAGCTACTTATGACCCGTTTTTTGTAATTTAGATGGCCATACCTCCTTGTGGTCATATGATAACACTTTTTATAGGTTGCTTGGTAACAGACTTATATTTATGGCTGTTTGCATCCGGTGGTCACCTAAACAGCCATTTTTGCTGGTTTCTGGTATTTTAGATTCAGTTTCCAGCAAAAAAATGCCCATTCTTGAAAATGGGTTTGCTTTCACGACCACTTGAAAATGAGTTGTAAAATTGGGCACGGCCATGTGGCGACTCGCTTAATGACTGCCGTGATTTACAGTTGTAATTCTGGGCTCAGTTATGGTTGTAAGGTAAGGACTAGCTATGTGATGTTGGATTGACGGGAGGAAAAGCTTGGATGCATTATTTTTAGATTTATATCAGAGTGCATGTATATATATTCACACACAGACACTTAAATCAAGCAATTTTCAGGTTTTTCTTAACAAAGGAAAATAATATTTGTAGCTCAGGGTTGAAATGAGGCGCTTGGCGGTTTTCTTGCAGATGTTTCATGACCCAACTAGGTAATATCATCAGTGCTAGAAGGGAGTAAGGATTGTGGAGAGGAGAGGGAGGAGGAGGAGGACGACTGTGGGGTCCTTGGTGCTCTTTGAACTTGGCGGTTTTCTTGCAGGCATTTCATGACCCAACTAGGTAACATGATCAGTGCAAACCCCCACTCCCTTCTAACACTGATGACGTTACCTAGTTGGGTCATGAAACGTCTGCAGGAAAACCACCCAGCTCAGAGAGCACCAAAGACCCCTCATCAGTCCTCCTCCTCCACCTCCTCTCCACAACCCTCCTCTCTTCTAGCACTGGTGATGTTACCTAGTTGGGTCATGAAACGTCTGCAAAAAAACCACCCAGCTCAAAAACCTTTTTCAGCTGTGGGGAATCTCCATTTTACCTCCCAATTAAACCTCCAACTATTCCAGAGGTGCAAGAAAATATTCCTCGCCCGAAACTGAGCTGGCAAAGACGCCCCCTACCCCGATGCAAACAATACAGGTCAACAAATTGATTTCTTGCCTCCTTGTGCCTTCAATGATAGTCTTCAAGCACCTCTTGAAGACCTCGTCGTACAACATGATCAGCCGCCCTTCCTAGAAAGAAACCAATTTGGTGGGTTGATCAAGAGCAGAATCTCCAATCCCCCCCACCCACCCACCCCAATTAAAATCAGGTTGTTCAGAAGCTAATTGTATGTTATGACTTAAGATTCTGCCAAGCATCAACCTTTCTCAACTTAATACTCTCCAGATTTGGGGGAAACTACACCTCCCATCAAACACAACAATTACTTTTGACTAGCTGGGGGGCAGCACATCTGGACAGCATCCATTTTGGGAGAAAAACAAAGCTGTTTTTGCTTTTTTTGGCGTTTCCCTCTGCCAAACAGCTTGTTGATATTTGATTTTGCTTACTTAAAGCAGCTGCAGAATTCCGCCGAGGTTGTATGTCTTATTGTACTGTTCACAAGTGAAAAATAATGGGGGGAGGGGGGGAGAAATGGAAAGAACCTGTGAAGTTTTTAGGGATTTGGTATCCTGGTTTGGGCTCCCAAGCCAACTTCTGAACTCACACGGAGGCAGAACTCTTGTGAACTTTTAACATCTGCGTCTCTTCTCCACTCACCTCCACTTGTTTGTGCTTTGAATCAACGAAGGGACCGAGCTGCAAGCAACGAAAGGAAACCATGGTTAAGGAGGATGGACAGAGAAGGGAAACAAACCCCAAATATTGATTAATGGTAGCCACCATTTCACCCCCAAAAAATCAAGCAAGCAGGGAAAAAAAAAAAGAATTAGTGCCCAGCTTTTATGTTTTTGCAAAACATAAACGCTGGCCGAATGAGATGAAAACTTAACGGGATCCAAAGGTTAAGATTTGTGATGATTCTCAACATCCTTAGCTCCCAGTAGTGCTGATGGATTGCAAATTAGCAATACAGCTAGTCCTCAACAAACGACCGGTCCATTACAGTCGTTAAATGAAAGTTATAAAATTGAATCCAACACACAAGAGACCTGTTTCTATGAGGTTTGGGTTTTGTTTTTTTTGGCAGTAGTTGTTAAGTGAACGCAGTGGTTCTAAGTGCAAACAGGATGGTCATTAAGTGAATACCAGCTGTTAAGTGAATTCACTGGATATTGGTTTGTTTGTTTTTTGCCAAAAACGGGCAGTGATGGGACACCACAAATGCATCTATGTGGCAAGTGTCCGAAGAACAGTCAATAGGATTGTGGAGAGGCCCCGACCACCGGAACTTCGAATCTGTTTGGTAAGGAGGCCCCAAGTAGGTCCGTTGCAACTTCAAATGGTCACTTCTAAAGAGCAAAGAAATCCCGCAGATGTCAGAAGGGTCTCCATTACCAAAATGCAAACATCCGGCTTGTCCTTATTGATGGTCTCAATCAGGTCCACCATGGGCTCATAGGCGATGCTGTCCGAAGTGGTGTAGGGCCCACAGGCAACCAAGACCAGCCGAGGTTCTGGATCTGGAAGGATTACAAGCGGGTTGGTTTTTCTTTCCCAATTCTGGGATTTTCAGGGATTTTCTCTTGGGCCCGTCATCACCGCTGTTTTGGTTTTTTTTTTTGCAAATATGGTGCTAAAAATAAACTCTCAATCAATGGAATTGTCACTTAGTGCTCTGCTAGAAGAGAGTGGGGTTTGTGGAGAGGAGCAGGAGTAACAACAACAACAATAATAATAATATTGTGGGGTCTTTGATGTTTTCTGACCTTGGTTGTCTTCTTCCAAACATTTCATGACCCAACTAGGTAACATTATCAGTGCTTGAAGGGAATGGGTATTGTGGAAAGGAGGAGGAGGAGGAGGAAAAGGAGGGAGGGAGGGAGGGAGGGAGGGAGGGAGGGAGGGAGGAAGGAAGGAAGGAAGGAAGGAAGGAAGGAAGGAAGGAAGGAAGGAAGGAAGGAAGGAAGGAGAAAAAACTAATTCTGTCCCAGAGAAATCCTTGGGAGTGGTTTCTTTGTCTTATTATGAAAGGACTATTAATGACAAAGGATTATTAATGGTGATAATGATGACAAATATTTTTCTTTTTATGAATACTGAGAGCATTTGCACCAAAACAAATTCCTTGTGTGTCCAATCACATTTGGCCAATAAAGAATTCTATTCTATTCTATTCTATTCTATTCTATTCTATTCTATTCTATTCTATTCTATAAAAACATGCAGATCAGGCTGCATAGATATTTTCAGTTTTGGAGAAACAACCATCCTTAATACATTTATTCATTATTATTAATAGTTGAGAGGAGATGCATGCAAACCTTGCACGGCGTAATTTTCCCCCCAGATTTAATGTAAACGTGATTATATGATTCATTATTATTGATGGCAGTGAAACCTGCCCATTGCACTATTTGCAACTTTTTAGAAATAAAGATCATTAAATATATGATTAGGATTAAGTTGGTGGCAGTGCAGGCAAACCACTGCACTGTTTATTTGCAAGTTTTTAAGAAATAAAAATCATTCATATATTGTTAGGATTAAGTTAACAATTGTGCAAACCACAGAACTGTTGTAATTTTTAGATACAAAACTCATTATTGTGACAATACAAACAAATCACTGCATTGTTTATAGTTATTATCATTTTTAAAATAACTATGATAGTACAAACCACTACACTAACTGTAATTTTTAAATGTGTTAATAAGATATTAAGTATTATACATATACATTATATGAAATGTAATAGAAATGTATAGAATTGTATCATGGATGTTATTATATATAACACATAACACTACGTACCGTAATAATGTATTAACATATTACTATGCTATTATTGTTTACAAGGCATTTTGCATTGATTTAAAAATACAATAACTGTAAATAGTGCAGGAAAATTTAATGTACGCATAGTGTATAAGGGTTAAAAAGGGAGACAAAACAATAATATATAAAGCCCATATGAATCATTCCTCCCAAAGGAATGTCTCAGCGTACTGTGTGAACGTGGTCAAGTGGGAATGGCTCCACACTAACCATGTTTCAACAAACCATGGTTTAATGTAAACAAATCCGGTAAAAAGCCAGAATTGTACTTAAGGTCACATGCTGGTTGAACCAAGTTGGCAAAAAGGTACCATACCTGTGGCTGCTTCTGTGGGCTTCTGGAAAGGAAGAGGCACTCCCTGGAGAGAGAGGAAATATTTTTATATTTATTTATTTATTTGCAGGGAGATCAATTAAATTCAACTGCTGGCTATAGTTTCTCACTCCTGCTTAGGAAATACACAAGTTCAGGAACAGTCAGTCACCTTCTCCAGGAAAAAAAAAAGACTACGAAAACTTTCAGAGATTAGAACAGAAATCACATACATGTAATCCTCCACTTATGACCATAACTGAGCCTGTTACAATTCCAGTTGTAAAGTGGATCATTACTGCAAGTTGTAAATTCATATGTCGATCCATGTTGAAGAGCATGACAGAGCAGTGAAACTCAGTGTATTTTAATTACCTCATAGAGTTTGGATGCAATCAGCTTCTTGCCAGTACTGTTCATTCCTTCCATGACCACAACCTGGATAATTAAAAAATTGGGGGGGAAATATATAACTTCAATTCTCAGGATTCCCCAGCCAGCCTGCTTTAAGAG